TAAAATCCTAGATATATGATTTTTATAGTGATGGAAAAGGGGTTTCTTGCTCAAAAGTTTGGGAATTACTGATTTAAACTAAAACTGTATAAAACGGCAAGTTTTACACATTTTTTCTTTATAAATTAATTCCTAACAAAATTTATAGAAGATAATCCGATATTAAATGTCAATTAATTCTCAACTCTATTCGCTACGAATTAAGAGTAAAAAATCCTAAAACTTAAAATTTAATACGAAATGATTCTCTGTGTCAGTTTATTTTTACATTGATTCAACAGGAAATCATATTCTGTCACTGAGGTCATCAAATATGAGACAAAATAATAAGGAAATGTCAAAAATTGAAATCTATTTTCTTAATATAAATGGATCACATTTACTATAATAAGCCCACTGGTGTTCTCTATGTATTTAAAACATGAAAAGGCACTGAAAAAGCATTTTCTAAGAAAAAGAAAAACGTCACACATACTATATACCGCTAAATCTGGTAAACAAGTCATAGCCTAAGTGATTATTATACATTCAATATTATGTTATTCTATATTGTACTTATGTTAATATTATTTCTTTCTTATCGTCAGATCTTTTTAAGATTATATTTTTCACATAACATATCTTAAGAATGGAATTATAGCATTTGAAATCATCTTTCAGCCGATGATTCACATCAACAGATAGATAGTTAATTTACTTTATTTTTAATAGAATACTAAACAAATCCAACCGATATGTTTAAAAAATATAGTTACATATTTTCGTCAATCAAAAACACCACTTTAAAATAATAATTTGTACTTAAGAAACCTAGTTTTAATACTGCAACAAAATATTTTTATATTTCCGAAATCAAAATAAATTAATTTATGCAACAATTGTTTAAATGTTATTATTATATTTGATAAATTTTGCATTCACAATGCTATACTGGAAAATATCTTAAAAAAAAAACTATCAGCCCCAGGTACCCCGAGATGGGACATTTTATTAGAGATATTTATAAATTATTATTTATAATTATTAAGATCAATCCGACATTTAAAGTTAAAGCGTTGTGTTAAAGTTTATTTTCAGGAATCGTTTCATATAAAATAATACTTGAAGACGGTAAACTTAAACCGTATTATGATAAAACGAGGACCAAACCTGGTACTTGGTTTAAAGAATTATCCGTAAATTGATAATGACAGAAGAGAAAACGTCAAGTTGAAACGTGTTGACTTATTTTGTTCGGCTAACGGTACAAAATGTTGGTACTAACGTTAGTTCTCTTTATATAATAAGACAGAAAATGACCAGAAGAAGCGAGTCTAGCCCGCAATTTGCAGCACGCATATAAATTGAAACTGTGTCATACCATGATATGAAAAAAAAAGAAACGACCATCATAGTAGATTGGAAAAAGAAATAGTAGATTGGGTATACCAATTAACAGTGTGCTATGCCCGTATAATACAGAAATGACACATATTAGGCAGTTCCGACGCCAATTCAGACCGGCGTGTAACAAAATATTATAGTCAGTTTGGCTACCGGGTCGACTAAATGAAAAACGATTTTAACCCCAAGGGGTCAACAACGACCAGTTTGATAATCACGTTCTTTAATACAAATTATATGTTTTTGCCTGGACGTTTATGTAACGATCATGGTATGGTATGTATGATGTAGTGAACTAACAACTTTACGAGTTTTGATTAGGAAAATTTTGAGGTTTAATCCATTTTTGATAGCATTGTATGGATCAATCCTAATTGTATTTAGGACACCGCCACATAAACTCAAAGTGCATTAAATCCTTACAATCACTAATGAAATTGAGACTGTAGTTATTTGTGCAACGACTAAATAATGTCCACGAAAATAACTAAATAAATATATCTTAAACATACAAAATACGTATTAATAACACTTTAAAATAAAATCATATCGATCACAAATAATATTGTTTTGAATAATTTCACTTATACAACGTTTGAGGATTATGTTATTATATCTTAAATCTAATCTATTTATTTATAAATCATTTAATACTCGGTATATAAAAAAAAATTGCGTTAGTTTTCAATATAATTCAATATAATTAAATTAACAATTATCAAATTCTATTTTGTGTTTTGAAATATCGAGATAATGGTTCATTTACATGACGGAATTCGCATGCATGAAGGCATTTAAAAGGGAGCAAGTTTGATAACGCACGTTTCAAAAACCTTGTAAACACGGCTACACGTCAGGTTATCACAATAGATCAAATTTCCGAAAGTGATTTTGTACCCTACCTACAATATAAGGTGTAAAATTAAGTGGAGACAATTTATAATCTAACGTGCTGTTAACTGTACTTTCGTTGACACAGAAGTGCGCGCTTCTAGTCGAAGTTTCCGACGATTGGGACCGCATAAACTGACCGAAATGACGTCCCAGTTGACGGATTGATTTAATTTTAATATTTTTCTTCCTGCGACTGGGACTGTGCATAAATAAATAAAAATCTATCGTTCAATCCAAAACCAGTACAGTCAAACGAAAAAATGTTTTGGCTGAAACAATAGAATTTTTATTAATTTATATGTGGTCCCAGTCTGGAAGAAAAAATCTAATATTGTATCAATCCAGCATCTCCTTTTTTCTTAATTATCCCCAATGTTAGTAGGTTAAAAAGAGATGAAATAACGTGAATTTTAAAATGTCAGATGAGTCGATATAACATATACATACACAAAAATTAACAATCTAATTCATAGAAATGTTTCTATTATTAAGCATTAATAAACACAACCGATGTATACGAACAACATATCTGAATAGGTCCTAAAATTAATAGAATAGAAAACTTATTGCTTTGTAGTTTTTTTGGACGTTTACAACTTTCTCGTTAATTAATAGAAAAATATACTTGTTATTAAATTATGATATGTATATGATTAGCAACCTATATTTATTCTTAGCGCTAAAACACGAGAAGGATATATGATAGAAAATTATTATTTTTTATCAAAATCTCATAATGGCCGGTTCATAATGAAAGCACGGAGATATTCAAGGCAAATGTAATTTGAATGTTTTGACAAGCTTGTTGAAAGTAAAGTTACATTAGAATAATGTTGTCTGATTTAAATTTTAATATCCAGCAATTAACAAAGAAAACGAACGCCATGGCGTGACGTCGTATGGTGAGAAAGCAAGTACCTCCTATTTATTTTGCAGTGAATGCCTTAACGGAGTCGTTTTTATTTTTTCGCTTTGTAGCAAAATCATTAGATGACACTGTTCTTATCTGATTGACATCTTAAAACCTATTGAATAATATACGCTATGCGTTTGTTTAGTTTACATAACGAAATGACGTCACGAATATGGCGGAGTTTAAATTTAATTTTAAGACAAGAAAATATGTTTATTCAGCTGAAATATTTTTCGAAGCCTATTTAATAATAAAATAAAGAAAATACAAGTACTTTTCAAATACCCTATATAATTTGAATTCTTAATTAATTTTAAAGAATCACCATTCCATTGAAATAATTACTAAAGTGATATACAAAAAGGTCGATGAATCCGACACACGCCAATATACAACTTTCATGATAAAGTCATTACCATGTTCATATGTTGTCATTTATATTAATTTGAAAACTGCGTGCTTTCACTGTGAATCTGCATAACTTGGAAAATATCTCAACGGAAGACTACATAGTAATAATAATAATCGATAAGGCTCTTTCAATCCTTTTATGAGGTAGTTGCGCTAACAAAAAATCGCGTCTCGATAAGGTAGCGTTTATGATGACAAATCATGCAAAGTAAAATATCACTTATGCTAAAGGCACTGAGTTCAAGAATTATTTAAATACTCTACTGTCTTTTATATAGGCACTATTTTTGTTTGCATGATATATAGAAGTTGAATTTCATTAAGGAGCAAAATTAACACGTTAATTTTAATATACAACTTAATAATAAACAACTTTAAATTAAAATTGTTATACTGGAAAATGCACTAACCTGCTACAAAAATACTCTCTAAAATATTTTAAAATGTAGATAGCGGAATATCAGGTTTCAATTTAGGCTGATATACATTTTTAAATACTACATTATACCGTAGTACCTATATCCATAATAATACAGTTCAATTTCGCTAGCGATCGTGAAATACAACATCTTGTACTATCAAAACGCCATCTTAACGTGATACCAATACGTATAACTTTTATATTGATTAATTTAAATAAATAATAATAAATAAATTTTATTTTTTGAATACGCGACAGTGTCATATAATAAATCATATAATAAGTAAATCACAGTTGAAAATATCGTTGATATTAATACTCAAAACTACTTGGATTGAATCAATACTAGTTCTTAGAAGGTTCCCTAATAATATACTAGACAATTAACAACGAACAACTATAAATGGGACATTTTATAAAGGATCTTATAAGTATTAAAATACGTTTTAATTTCCATTCTCATTTAATGCTATATGCATTTAAAATTAGAATGGCTGCTTCATCTCCTGATTTAAATATTAAAACAATGATGTTTCAGTAAATTTCTTAAACAGTTATTGCTATTTTATTAGAAAATATATCATAACAAAAGAATAAAAATTCGATGAATAGAAAGGCAACTGTCGATATGGCATTACCGTAGCTTCATCCCAAAAGACATAAAAACACGAAAATAACGGTCTCGAATCTAAGTCGGTAAAACAGTTTCGTCAACGACATCTAGTAGTTTTAAAAGGTATTAAGTAGCTAAGGGTATGTTTGACTTGATGCTATAATGATACATGTTATATTAGATTGGCTGTTTCTTTATTTGTGCTTATTCAAATTGGCTATACGTAGGCAGAAGTTACCACAACGCTTGAGGTTTAGGTTTGACCGGCTAACCTCATTCTTGTGTGAAAGTTAAAATATAAACTAACTATACTGTGCGAGTAGAACATATGGTACGAAGCAGCCTAGAAGATAACATGGTGTGCCTTATGGTGAGTTTTCGTCTTCTACTTCTTTTATGACGGCGTCAGATTCCCATCGAGCCCGTTCTGCCAATAATGCTTGCAGTTTCTGATCGGAAAAGAATAATTAGATAAATCATTTTTATTAATTTGCAACATTACAATAAATAAATAAATATTCTGAGATGAGTAGCTAAAGCTCCCGTATTATGGAGTATGAGAATTATCATTCATTCAAAAAAGATAAAATCAGAAAAGTAACAAATGTCCGACGAAACCTTCGTCAGTCGTCTTGGGTCTCGGGTAGAGCTATGGATAAAGCAGCCATCCGGATTGTGAAAGGTTGTGGGTTCGAGTCCCATCTCGGGGTAACTGGAGCTGGTGATTTTTTAAAGAATTTTTTCATTAAACATAGATATTAAATACTCGTTATTGTACTCACTTCTTTCTTATCCAGCACAATGATTCTGTTGTCTATTTTGGGCGCTAGTTCGCACGACTGCTGCTCCAAGTCATCTAAGGAAGCCCTACGTGTTAACCTGTTTGAGGATATGCAACAAGAAATATAATAAGCACCTTAAAATGCATTAGGGGTTAGAATGTCTCACATCTATTATTTGCACTATTAACTGCAACGTGTTACTGCAACAAATTGTTAACCTAATAGGGATGATGACTGGGTAAAAAAAATGCAATTCTATTTAGTCCGTCAGCCAGATAATAGAAAAACATTAGATACGTATTTTTTTTTACTTCAATTAAACAAGAAATAGCTTAGATAACAGGCATTAAAGTTGAGGAGTGGGGCTCGCTACGTCACAGTTGAGTAGAAAACGTACCCTAACGTGACGTCTTGCAAAATTTCAACTCAATGTAACGCCGTAATTTTATGATTACGAAAAAATAAAAAAATACGTGTTTAATATTTTTTGACACTCTACCTGACGGACAAACAAACAAAAATTAGTCATCATCCCTATTGCATCGTAGGACCTTTGACTTCCAAAGGCAGTAATAACTGGAGGAATTATATACAGGGCTATTCGTAAAACACCAGCAACTTCGCTGCTAGGCTATATAATCCAGCCATTTAACGGATTCGCCTCCGTTTTCTGTAAAGCTGTATCGATCGATTTAAAATGTTGACAGTAGAGCCGATATGCGCTTTTACCATGGTGGGTGCTACCCCTTCTCGGAGGTGAAAAATTTTAATTTAAAATGGGTATTTTGATTTTATTGTTTACTATTTAGAAGTAAGCGAGACTGCAATAATAACAAGATTTATCAGTAGAATATTAAACAACCACTATTGACTGGTTGTGTAAAATGCTCGTAGCTTCAATCAATAACACAACTAAAACATCATACTAAAATAATACTCAAATACGGCACCATAATACTCTAGGCGACAACTGAGCTCCGGAACTGGGTAAGTATAGAGTCGCATTGTCAATTTTATTTTTCTTACAATTATAATATCTATTATCTTTGCACAGATTATAATTTAATTTAACGTCATATTATTTTTTTATAATTAAGAACATACTTCTCTACCTTAATCTCTCTTAAGACTCTTTATTTGTTTTTATTATAAAACTCAATCTTACTTAAACATAATAATTATTTTAATAATTTAAGAAGAATAAGGTTACAATGTTAAGAAGGCAATTTATAGCGGAATAATATTTCAGTACTATCAAGGTAGCAGTGGTTTTCCCACTATCTAGAGTTTTATTTTTTTTACAATTCTAAAACAAAATGTAAGTTAAATGAAACATAGTAATATTAATTTAATAACCTTTAAATAATAAGTTTGTTATAAAGTTATCTCTTGGATTTATTTTCAATCATAGCCTTTCTTTTTTGCAATTGTAGTCCAGTCTTACGTCAACAAAACATTCAATCACTGAATTAAATAATTCTATTTTATGGTTTAATTCGTTACTTTCAGGGAACGTATCTATTGTTTTAAATAGTTAAAACAAAAGTCCTTTAATTTATAAGTACTGTTAATAATTTGATTATTAATTATAGACATTGTAAAATCACACTAACAACCAGAAAATATGATATTCCAACAGATACATTTTTATTCCGATAGTTAAATTTTCAGTTTTAATACGCACTGTGGCATCGAACGTTGGCGCCGTCTCAAACAAAGGCGGCGTTATGTCTTCGGTTGTTTTTAAGACTCTGACATACAAGGTGCATGGTAGGACTATTTTTATTGGTAGCAAACTATTATTCTAATGAAAGCTTAAAATAAAAAATCCTATTCAAACTTGAACAATGAATCAATAAAAGTCCTAGAACAAACGTCGTTGATTATGACGTTAGTATATAGTCTTGCGAGGTTAATGGTGTTTTCAAATAGCCCTGTATAATTTCCATTCCTATAATCCCTGCAAATTGTAAATGCGTCTGGCCGCCATTTTGGTGATATAATTATGTTCAACAATCGTTAACAAATGTTGAGATCACATACAATTTTTGTTATGTTTTTGTTTTTCTCGATTATTATTGTTTTGTTGTCACTTTTTATAGTTGACTAAAATAGCAACTGGTATTATGATTTCCACAATATATAAACCTGATTTCATTAAAAATAAATATATGTTATGTCTCTTATTTCATAATTACTTTTGGCGATGTTTTAAAAAATCGTCCTTTCCTTATGTTATTGAGTTTATTGAAAAATAAATGTATATTTTTGTTTACCATATACCTCAATATAATATATAAATTGGCCTTTTCCGATAATTCTTAAATTAAATTAACAAACTAAAAATTATTATAATATATTTTGGGGATTAGTCATAAATATTTCAATAAATTGTATTGTCGAAAATACGTAATAAATAAAATAATAATTAATAAAAAAATAAATAGCACAAAATGCAAGATTTTGTGTTATCTATACTTTCTATTTTCAAATCACGCGGGTGTAATTTAGACAAAGTTTCTGCGCATTAGCAATTTGCGGGACTTACATATATCACTAGGTTTAAATCAATCCATTTACCGAACGAGAAAAAAGCTTACCTATGATGTGTTGTATGAGAAGTAGGCTCGGTAGCAACGGAGGAAGCCCTCCTCAGAGGTGGTGGACCGTCCAGCTCGCTGCCATCTAACATCTTCACTAAACTATGTCTGTTGACAAATGCATATGTGAACATTTTTTATATTACTAGTAGAATTAATCTTTTTGTAGAAATTATAAGTCAAACTTGAGAACATGCGTATCATAAGATAATTACCTTCTGCTGAGTGTGACTAGCGACTGTCTATGTTTAGATGGTCTAGCTCTTCCCGTCCGCACGTTGATGGCCGCGAAGTGGTTTTGTACCGCCATACCCACTTCGGGACACATGTCTTCTGATATCTGAAAATGGCTCTTATTAAATATTACAATGATAAATTGAACTGTAAACAACGGTTACTATGGTAGCATTTAAAGCCCTATACGAACTTTCAATCTCATTTTCATCTTTTTATTCCATGTGCTATTTTTTTGGGACAAGACAGATAGACATATGCTGTCGCAAATTTTTCCTAGAACTTTTTAAGAAGATTTTTGCGTAAAATTCAGTCTCGACAGTCTAACTTTCACGGTTTATATTACGGCTTATATTACTAAAATTTGGTACCCGTTTTGCCCTTTGGGTACGGAACCCTAAAAAAACTGTTGCCTAAAAAATAAAAGAAACAAGCTGCATTATGGCTTAGCTTAATCAAATTCTCATTGCAGTTGGGGAATGTCTCAGATTACAAATGTGCCAGAACGGTCACAATGGACAAACTATAATGTTCCAGTACAGTCAACGGACAAACTATAATGTGCCTGAACACTTACCAATATTTTACATTTGGGCAGCATAGTGAAGCCATCGTTGCCGTTGTACAAGTATTGCTTGATTGCTAATCTGTACTTCTGATCTCTTTGTAGGTATTCGTCACCGATTTTGACGACTTGTTCCGCTACACGCTCGCCCGGCGGCTTTGATGGATCGAAAGCGAACGATATACCCGCTACCTGTGTGTGAAATGGAATTTTTGAAACATTAGTGAGAATTCAATAGAGTATTAGGGGTTAAAAATCTTAACCCCTAATACTCTATTGAAAATAATTATTGGTTATATCATCTAGACCAGGCATTCTTAAACTATTTTCCAAAATTAACTTACAGGCCCCCATAGTCAAATCACTTGTAAGAAAATCCTATCTCTAGTTTATCGCCCATTTGTAATAGGTGTGAGAGTGAAGTTTGACATCATTTTTTTAGACGAAATTAATAAACATCAAATATAATTAAATGAGAAAATCTCGGAAACGGCTTCAACGATTTTCATTAAATTTGGTATGCAGGAGGTTTCGGGGGAGAAAAAAAAAACGTCTTTTAACACCGAAAAAAAGAACGAGCAAAGGTCGGTCATTCAGGTACTGATTATTAATTCGAAATACATAATACGATGTAAATAGATTCCTACTGAAACATGAATAATCCTTATAATAAGTTTGTACATATAACACAATGTATAGTTGACCCATCCTCCTTAACTATCCATAAGAAAGGCCTGAGCCCCTGCAGTGGGGACGTAAAAGGGCTGGTGATGAAAATAGTGGTATCTTAAAAGTTGTTAATTAATAGGGGTTAATTTTTAGACCGCCCCTTAAATGGGCGATGCCGACAACTTTGGGAACACCTGGTCTTGTCTACTTACACGCATTTGTGAAAGTTCAAAACTTACGCTATCTTTCACTAATCTATGGCAGGAAATCTTGTTCTAATGATAAATATTTTGAAATCATCTCCAGCACAATAGCTAGTTAAGATTAAGTAGCCCTCTCCCCCATTCTTAATCTTTGGTTGGGGGATATTCTCATGTGATATGTAAGTGACTATTTATATTATAACGATTTCGAACTTAAGTTCAAATAGTATAAGATGTAAAATCAATCAGAGATATTTTAAACGGTCTCCTGTTAATTATAAATAAATTTGTCACCTGTGGGAACCGTCCCTCCAGGCTCGGATACTTGCTAACCGAGTTCTCTAATACTTCCAGGATCACAGAACCGGTCACCTCCACCACCACGAGGAGATCCCTCATGGGGATGATGGTAGATAAATCACGGAGTGTAAAATCACCAGCTGGATGAACCTGAAATGCATCATTCATTGTGATTTTTACCTTAATAACGGTATATAACTAAAATAACTGGCATATAAATTATCCTAATTACAAAAAAACTATCTTAATGCGAAAATGATTAAATATAATAAATAAAAAGCTTAATATAAGCGAAAATAAAACCGCTCGAATTCAATACAGCTTCTTGAATAATTTCGTTTTTATAAGGCATTATTAGTTTGTTTCATTTATATTAATCTTCTTTCCTTTTGATTTTGATGAAATTGATTTATTCTCTTCCTTGAAAGCTAACTAATCTATAAATACATATATAAAAGGAGATGTCCTGGCATACTGACTGACAGACAACGTACAGCCTAAACCGCTGATCGTAAAGACTTGAAGAAAAAAAGAAAAAATTTGGAGGGTACATTCGTCTTATTGCGTACCAAGAACGGATATTTGGGGGTTAAAAAGGTTGAAAACCTTTGTATGAAAACTGCTTTCTTTTTGGACCTATATCGATGAAAATTGGTATTTGGGAAGTTTAAAACCAAAGGAAGGTAGGTTGTATTTGATTCCATAAACCAACACTGATTTATTTAACGGAATGACATGGGAATGAAATTTTTTTATGGGAAATAAAATTTTACCATAGCAATCAATGTATATATTCATTATCTATATATTTTTATGTATAAAGATTTCCTTAAAAATATTTAAGTGTCTAATTTCCTTTCTTATCCGAATCATTATTTCGGATATCTGTCAGTTTCGGTTATCCGCAACTCCTTAACATCCTTATTAACAATATACATAGTTACGTACCTGGTCAGACCTGAATGTGCCAGAGTTTAGTATCACGAGATCAGCCCCAGTAGCGGCTAGTAGTACATCGCACACCCAGTTGCCAAGATTGCATTCCTGCCGTCTGATACAGGAAAATCTACCCTCTAAAGGCACACAGAACTTGCCTAGAACTTCGTCCATTTTGCCTTCGATCATAGCTGTAGCACAGACATACATATAATTTTTTATATTTTTTATTTATGGGATAGGGGGCAGACGAGCAGACGGATCACCTGATGGTAAGTGATTACCGTCGCCCATGGACACCTGCAACACCAGAGAGGCTACAAGCGCGCTGCCGGCCTTAGAGGGAAGGGTTGAGGGGTAGAGGGAAGGGAATAGGGAGGGGTTGGGCCTCCGGTACCCTCACTCACACGACGAAACACAACACAAGCGTTGCTTCACATCGGTTTTCTGTGAGGCCGTGGTATCACTCCGGTTGAGCCGGCCCATTCATGCCGAAGCATTAATATAAATAGCATACACAATACCACTTTGCAGTTATACTATATGTGTATTTATATCCACATTATTATTATTATATTTGATCCCACGACTTTTTGCAGTCGCCCGGACTGTGGGCGTGGGTTTTGGTCCCATCTCAGATGTTCTTGGTTCGAGGCCCGTGTGTCAACTACTACTATATTGTCACAGGTCTGGATGTTGTGTTACCTCCATTGTTTTAGATTTCCATAATACAAGTGCTTAAGCTACTGATTTGGGATCTGAGCAATTTACGTATGTGATGTTGTCTAATACCCTTTTTTTATAGCACTTTGGATTTTCTAAGAGATCTGTGCAGCCGTAGGCTGCAATAGCACTTTTCATCGAATGCTGCGCCAGATCAAAAATGTATATCCGTCGATACGGATATTTGGTGTTAAGTTCTCTGATACGGATACCATCTTTATTTTCTTACTAATTCTGTTTCGGCCCGTAGATCTTAAACGATAGCAACGATAGGAGCGCAATATGAATATTGTCTTATTAAATATTTCATTTTAAAAATAACAATGATTAATCCTACCTAATCACATATACATAGCATTTCATCAATTGAAAAGTAGTAAGGCAAAAGATGGCTCGGTGGCGTAGTGGATAAGCTATGCGGCCCGCGATCGTTATTGTTAAGCAACTTTCGCAAGGGTCGGTCACGGGATGGTTGACCAAAAAATTATCTCGAGCTACTCCGTCCTTCGAAAGGCACGCGAAGCCGTTGGTTCCAGTTGCATTTGCACTCATTAATACCTTCCCATCCGCATTGAGTCAGCGTCATGGAGGGCCATGGCCCATTCGCCTTGACCATAAATAAAGAAAGCCTGAGCCTCTGCAGTGGACGTGGTAGGGCTGATGATGAAGGTAAAAGGTTCGCGAGAAAAGTAACGGCCACCGATTCGGATTTCCGGCGCTTCACAACTATTTATTATAACGTAAGCAGTGAGGGAGGCAATGCGGAAAGAAAGGAGATTAAAGGTACTAAGGTCTACTTATATAATGTTCGAATAACCCCTTAAGTTGTAATACAACATCTCACCGGAATATTTATCGACCTTCGCCTTGAGAGCTTGGTCTTCTGCGCACGCGCTTGTCACTTGTACTTCCTCAATGTTGACACGAGGCGCGCCCTCGAATGTGATGGTGATCTTCGAGAACTGACGGAAATCTGTACCACTCTTTACTATATACCTATTATTTACCTGAAATATACCGTCCATATTATTATAAAAATACTCACAAAATGTACAAAAGTACATTAGTTATCTAAAAGTATCGAAGTTCTCCAATTGGTTTTAAACCTTATCTGGATAAAAGTTAAGTTCAATATTAATTATGGAAAATTGTTTTGGTGGCGTAGAGGATAAGCCCCGTAGCTCGTCGTCGTTGTTGTTAAGCACCTTTCGCAAGGGTCGGTCACAGGATGGGTGAACAAAAAAAAATATCTCGAGTTCCTCCGTGCTTCGGAAGACATGTTAAGCCGTTGATTCCGGCTGCATTTGCAGTCGTTTATCCAATCCGCATTGGGCCAGCGTGGAGGTTCATGGCCCATCCTCCTTAACCATCTATAAGGAAGGCCTAAGCCCCTGCAATGGGCACGTAAAAGGGGCGATGATGGTGATGATGAACCTGTTGTTTGTATGAGGCTGGATATTTTGAGCTAGATTCCTTTCATAGAGATATTATAGATAGAAGCCTCGGTTAGAAATAGATAGAAAATAGCAATACTTTGACCGTTCAATAGTTTGTTTGTACTGTTCATTACTGCGTGCTGTAATGGAGTATCGGACTATCTACAACATTCATAATTTTCCTGAGTCCTTTACATCAAAATGTTTTGTTTCCGATATTAAATATCGTTATTGGTTATCCATATTTTTGTTATTAGAAATATAAATTATACAAGTATTTATTATTCAAACCCGCGAATATTCTTTCATCGCAGTGTCTCAACACATCATTAGAGATAGGGCACCGTGATTTTCTATCTCGTTCTAATCCAGGGACATTTCCCTCGCATGACTTGCCTACTATATCTATAATACCTCAACGGTTCCTAAGGTTACCTCGAGAACTTCATACACGTGATCGTGCCCGCCCAATATCAAATCTATTTCGTTGCATCCCTCGGCTAACTTTACGTCGTTCGGCGTGCGCATATGCGTCAGAGCTATCACGTATTCGCAACCTTCTTGCTTCAACTGTGACGCCAATTTGTTACCGGCTTGTAAGAAATCTATGAAAGTCACTTCCTCTGGGTTTATCGTGGATAGAGTGTCTAACCATTCCTGATAATAAAAATATTAAAAAAGAATTATCAAATGTGTTACTAAAATTATTCTCTTTAGATTAGCTCAAGTAAGTTTCAGTATTATATTTGCTATGACATGCCTAAATGAACATCTAAATAATATTGAATCCATTTTTAAAGCAAGAATTAAGGCAAAATGGCTCTTTGTCATATAGATATTGGTTTCTTTATCACTGGATGAATACATTTCTCTCTTTACCTTTATTTGTTTATTCATTTTAGAAGATTTCTGATAAGCAGTATGTCTGTCTTTTATATGCCATCTTGTAATTGGCATTAGTTCAATAAACATTGTGTAAATAGAGTATTTTAACGTCCTCTATTAGTCTTATAAATTATAAAGTACGCCAACATAATATTTATGAGTACAATAATCTATTTTTGCTATGAGATGGGAGAAGGGCCCCTCCCTTCTCCCATCTCAAATTATATTCTTTAGATCGAACAATAGACGGCGTTACCTGTTCGACTAGACCTATAAGTCCGATCTTGTGTCCGTTACACATAAGAGCGTGCGTTATCTTCCCGTCGCCTAGAGGGCGTCCCGTTTCATTGTCTATTACGTTTGACATAAGCCAAGGGAAACTACACTGTGCCACCAACCCTGATAAGACATCAAGGCCGAAATCTGAAAGTGCAAAGTGATAAAATAGTATGTAAAACTCGACACGAGTTAATTTTGGTTACTGTCCACACAAGGCGCTAGTATTAGGCTGAAGTTCACCGACTTTCTAATCAACTGATTAGTACTTAAACAGTTGATTAAAATCTTTTTGTGTTAACCACACACAAATTAATTGATTAGAGCTGGAATATACCGAACATCGGTTAAACATCGATTAAGAAATCAGTTGATTAAATTGTAACCGTTGTTTAAACAGCCATTAAAGAAATTCATGTTCACCAGGTAAATTTTTTATTACGATTACCAATCGGCCGATTATCCATCGTTTAGAACGAATGCCTAATACGTTAATCAGTTGCGTATGTAGTTCTACCGTATTCAGACGACACAGTCTTTATTCAATTCAATGTAGCAGCGTTATAAAAATGCTAACAATTTTAAGAGTACGGACGACATGACAAGAACGGCACAAATAGATGTATTTTAACTTTGATCGACCTATAATCTCAAAATGGTTGTCTATTTTGTCTTGTCAACTCTTTGGTCTTGTCAATTGTTATGTCAAAACAAAGACCATATACTTTACTTTTTGAACAGTGTATATTATTTGTTTACAATTATTTCATTTCAATCTCTGATGTTTCGGATTTAATTCCCGGTCGGGTATATGTAGAAAATAAAATGTTTGGCCATAATCGTGCGCGCGTCCAAACAGTAGCCGATCACTCATTTCGGTTATTTTTTAAATAGAGCGCGGGCGCGTGCTGTTTTGCCAGTAATCGATTGAAATGATGTTTCGACATCCATATCGTTCAGACAGCAATTAAAATGTGGGATGGCCGATTGTGTGGACAACGGCGCAATGATGGTGACAATCATGGTGTAACTCAGTGACCGCTCATAATGGGGAATAGTAGAGGGGGTTCATCACATTTATATTTGTTTATATTTTTAGAACGCTACTTACCAGCGTAAAGGGAACTAAAATCTATATAAAATTTGATATTTGTGTTCTATAACTATTCGATGATTTTTCGATGCTAATAGTATGTATCTAAATATACAGACGCCAGCACGTTAGGTACTACATATGGTCAAATTTCTCCAATCCATTTCAAGCTTTAATCCGTTGATAATTAGGTTTGAAATTGTATGCAGATATTTGCCCTTTTGTAGTGAATGGGTATGTTGTTGTGTGTAATATATTATTTTACATTTTAACTTACCAAAGTCATGGTTCCCAAAGACGGCGCAGTGCGTCCCGATTTCATTTAAAACTGGCACCATCTGTTCACCTTTTGTAAATGTGCTTACTGAAATTAATTACAATATTTATGTGGGCTGTATTAGAGTAGCTCGATGGCGTATTGCATAAGTGCCATGGCCCGTTGTTGTTAAGCAACTTTCGCAAGGGTCGGTCACGGGATGGGTGACCAAAAAAATTATTATCTCGAGTTACTCCGTACTTCGGAAGGCAAGTGAAACCATTGGTCCCGGGCTGCAGTCGCATTAGCATTAGCAGTCGTTAATAGCCCTCAATTCGCATTGGGCCAGCGTGGAGGGTCATTGCCTGTCCTCCTTAATTATCAATAAGGGAGGCCTGAGCCCGTGCAGTGGAGACGGTACAGGGCTGATGATGATGTAGGCTGAAAATAGTAGCAACATTTATGTGGGATGGTATATGTATCGGAACGTAAAAAAATTGGTCGTGAGAGTATATTAATTAGACTATGAACGAAAGGTAAGTGAGACTAATGGGTGTGCAAGCGAGATAGAGGAATAATATATGAAAGAGGGGAGATTTGAGAGACGTAAAAGCGTGGTATATATTAGGAATATTTTCAAGTATAGCATTGTGAATGCAAAACCGATCAAATATAATATTTTGAATAAATTTTCATCTTAATCAAAGGCTTGAAATATTTCTTTCGTCCGTTTTTTGGAATTGCCTGAACATTTATGAAAATACGCTCACTAGTAGTCGCCCGGATTGCGAAACGTCGGGAGGTTCGAGTCCCATCTTAGAGTACAGAGTTTTCATTAAGATTGACGCTGTTGTTGGACAGTTAGTACTTATTAGTTTTAAGTCAGTTTTCTTACGCATGCTGGGTGAGAATGCATCGCCACTGAACAATATAAGGGGGTTCAGATGATGCAGCGCCTTCACCGCTGTGCTAAACCTTAAGGCACCTCCCACAGGTTCTGTGTCTGAAAACAAAGAAAAAGTCATAGATGGAGAGCTCGTGACAATAACGTGCAAGAGCTTTCTAAAACTTGATATATCAATATGTTAAAGTACTAAGAGTATATCACTCAGTAACCAGTGCGGAGGTCAGGTGCTGGGACAACTGATGGTAGCGGCACGAAGCAAAATCTAGTGATCGCTGAATATGTTTGTTTCATTAAAGGAAGATCTGAGTATTAACTAAATTTACATAAATTTCAATCATTACAAAAAAAAAAATCGGAGCTCATTTCCACCAACTTCTGTGATCTGCTGTGTCGCCAAATTTCATGATTGTGCAATTTGAGCAGTTACGTCTACTTTTACCATTAGGAATAAGTTTTCGCTACTTTTAAATCCTAAAAAGCATCTTTAATATGTCTGAAATATAAAGCTTTACAAAGCCTTTACAATTTTTTTTCGCGACCTCTTTGACTATAACTCTTTGGTTTTACTATTGAATTATTGTAACAGCGCGGTACTCGACGTTTGATTTCAGACTGATTTCAGAATGCTATTCTGAGCTGATGGTGTGTATGAGAAGCGCATCTTGTGACATCGCTTTTATCAGATACAGAGACATACGAGGAGAATTCACTAGAAAGGCATGCCCGCGGGCAAATCTATTGATATGCCTGTTCGACTTCTATAGGTTTCTGTGTCCTATACTAACAAACATATGCAGACCTATATTCGCGAGGTTCGGCGGGAATATCTGCAGACTTGTGCGCGGGCACGTCCGTCTAGTGAATTTCCCGCTTTAAATCAATCTCACGCATTCGTAAAAACATTTTAAGCATTCTTGTATAGCGAATATTATCTGTAAACTCACTCGTGGTCTGTTCGATATTATATACATCGTTGTAATGAATGATGAGGACTTCATCTCCCATGCCGCGACCGGAGAGTTGGCTAACGGCGCGTCTTCCAACTTGACGCACCTCCAAGGACGCCTATAATGAAAATACAAACTTTTAGAAAATGTAGTAGATACATTGAGTAGGGAAGTATAGAGAGAGAAAGAACGAAGGGGAGGTAAAGATATAAGGGGTTAGGGGGTACAGCAGGATGCAACTGATGTCGCTCACTGTTGTACCTAAACAGAAAGCTAAATTTTGAAGCGCGGCAAATGTCGACCAAAGTTTAATGATTCAAGTAATAAGCGCGTGGCTGACGCCCGCCATTTTGTATCTTGTGGTTATTGAAACAGGACTCATTATAAACATTAATCGTCGGAATTTATAGGTCTGCTCGCGCAAACGAATAGTCACCGTGCTCTACATTGGAAGTTGGAACTTACTCTAATAAAGACGAAAAAGATCGTCCAAGTGCGAGTCTGACTCGCGCACGCAGAGTCACGTGCCGGAAACAAGCAAAAAAGTCATGTTTGTTGTATGAGAGTCCCCTTAAATTTTATTTTATTCTGGTTTGGTTTGAAATAGCAACAGAAATACATTATCTGTGAAACTTTCAACCGTCTAATTTTCATGGTTCATGAGATTACAGCTGTGGTGACAGAAAGCGAAGTCCTTGTAATAGGGTTTCCGTTTTACCCTTTGGGTACGGAACCATACAAAGAGTAGGAAGACGGAGGAGGTAGTAAAGAGACAAAGATGCATGTAGAAAGAGGTAGTCTGTAAAGAACAATGGTCAAAATGGACTACGAAAAAAAAGTTCTTGTACCAAGATGGAACTATCACCAAAATGTAGTATAAGTTGAATGTAATTATTATATACCAACAATTTATTTTTAAAAGCTGAGAAAAGAAAGATAATCCTCTCTAAAATATGTCTATATTTTTTTAGAACGCAGTTTAAATTATGTTATTTTTGAACGCATCTTATTAATAATGTCATTGCTAGATAAGTCCCTCTCTTTTCAAAGAACAAGATCGATTTTATTTCTGACTAATCGAATTTGATACAAATCTTATATTATTTAAGAACCATATAAATCCGTGAAAATTATAAAACTTAGATTAGATTACTAAAATAATTAGATGTTACTTAGAGGAAAATAGTTTATTTATAATTAAATTAAAAACAAATGATTATTCATATCGCGATTAAAATACTAAATTGAAAGAAATAATTATTTCTACACAACATACCTACTTTAAGTACATTTATTTTCATACAAACAAACAATAGTTCGAGTTTACAAGAATATAATTGATTTGCATAATATAATTGATTAAATCTTATATTTCAGTCTCATAACATTTTTGATTGTTGAACTATTGTAACAGGTGTGACATTTTTACAGTAAATTATGCTTCTTCAATGCCATATGCTCGTAACTGAGAGGTTTTCTTTTGTAATTGGCAGGAAGTTTCTGAGACATTGCTTTTCCTTTTTTGTCAATCTTATATTGAAAAGTCAAGTTTAATAAGAGAAATGCAATAGAAATACCACTTTTACTATTGTATGATCGGTATCTGTAAAAAACACGTGTAAATGTTTGATGATGTGAAACCTTTTATTGGCCTTAATGTTAAGCTTGTTATAACCTATACTATTATTTGTAACGCTGTTGGTTTCAATTATAATAAATAAATAAATAAATTCATAAGAATCGATATTAAAGTATGCAGTCGATTGCGACCTCTCTTTTTAGACAAGTATGTGTAGACGGTTTCTACGCAGACCGTTTTGTAACTTTGGCGGTGATTTTGTATTATCTTCTGTATTGTGGGGAGCATACTAGGATCCATGGGAAGTATAGAATTGACGTCTGGAGAGAAATACCGGATTTTCTGGATTTATTAGAATTAGACTTAAATATAAATAAAGTCGTATCGGTAAAATTAAGTCGAGACATTGGGAGGAAACAATATTATGTGTACTAATTGGTCGATGTACACTAGGATGCTGTGCTCATATGATGATCATAGTTTGGTATCTTGGATGGGCCCGACACGAACAGAATGTAGCTGCTCCTGCAGGATTCCGTATTCATTAGAGTTGTAATAAAGAAAAGAAAAATCAACATGTTGTTTTGCTATATCCTTTTGGAATTAGTATTTTCACTACTACTTTATAGTAAGTTATAGTGTAAGATAGAAAAGTAGAGTTATTGAGAGCAATCTTAAAAATTCTATTATTCTTTTTTGAAGTTCATTGGTTCACAAAAAATCATTTTATTTCTTACAGTCAATAAAAATAATTTATCAGATATGGAGCAAGTTTGAAGTATTATGTGAAAGTATGCACTTCTAGGATTACGATTAGGCATTATCTGACGTGTGCTTTACATATTTCAACTGTAATACCTCTAACTCAAAATGCTACAGTTTAAATAATACGACATAACCTCAAAAACATATTACACAATTACTCGATACTCCCAGCTTTTAAAAATATATTAATGTCTTTCTTTGTTCTAGTTGCATAGGCAAACAAAATAACATATGTTTCATCAAGTTACGTTTTATTCGATTTTACTAGTCCAAGCATGTTAGGCAGATGGCCATTGTTCTTTGAATACGTGCATATGCGTAAGAGGGAAAAAGAGGGAATTATAGAAGACACTATATTGAACCTGATTAAGGAATGATATTAGGGTAATGGTGTGTACATACTTGATCAACAAACACCAAGGATTGAGCATAATTGATCCTTACGTCTATAAGGATTTAGTGTTTGTTGATCGAGTCTGTACTTACCACAGAGTAGTTGACATTCTTCGGTTTCATAGACAAACAATATAAGGACATAATACAACGATTTTAAATGCTGGTGAAACTAAACAATAAATCTAAAACACTTACAGATACTACTTAATAACAACAAGACAACGAGTCTAGCACTAAAAAGTTAGAACCCAATAGAAAAAAAAAATAGAACCGATTGCGATAGATGTCAAAGTAATAACCGTGTATTGCAAGGTCAATATCATTTGATCCCCACTCGGGCCGACTAAACGTCACGACTGAAAGCAATTCCGTCAAATAAAATTAATTGTATGCACATAGAGACGCACGTGTCACCCATTTGGTTTAATTTCATCACGTGAGCTCGTTTGGTGTAATCACCAGAATTACAATTCGAGTCTGGCAATGAAGAAATGGTTTGGAATCTTCGTACGGTTTGCGGCGCAGATAACAGAATTACACGATTTTTTTTGTTCTGTACAAAAAAAATAGTCTGTAATTAATGATCATTCAGACATTCTGAAAGTTTTTCTCATGGGTCATTAAAATTACGTGAGATAAAATATTAAATATCCTCGTTCAGTTTACAAAATTAACGAGGATTCCTCATAATGCAGGTGTGTTCATAATGTACATACGTTACATATTGAGTTTCTTTTATTCATAAAAGTTAAATTTTAAAAATCATGTCAATTGTAGCACAGTTTGATGGCGTGCCAGTTCCAGTTATTTATTACGGGCGTAGCTATATAAGCTTTATTTGGGAAAGCCTTTAGCTAATCTCGATTAAAGCCAATGTTAATTGTTAAAACTAGGTCAAACATGTAATTTAAAAGATCTGTTAAGTGATGCAACAGAAACGGAACATCAAAGTTTTTGCCTTCTTCCAGTTTTATTTTTAATTCTCAATACGGGTGTAGACAGCAAACGAAGATAAATACATATTATTTTTTTCTGGTAGTGTTTAAAATATTATTACCGATAATACCACTTTTATGCTTCATTGATGACAACTTCAGATTAATGCATGACAACGCACGTTGCCGTACCGCAGGATCCGTCAGGGAGTACCTTAATGTGATCGGGATTCAAGTTTTACCATGGCTCGCACACAGTCCCGATCTTAGACCACGCAACCTAATAGAGCATATTTGGGACAACTTTAAAAGATGTGTCCGAGCGTAGTCTCGTAGGCTCGTAGTTACGAGTCCCTACGACTACAGGAGAGCTAAAAACGGCTGCAGTAGAGGAGTGGCACAATATCCCGCAATCGGATTTTCAAGACATCATGGATGGACAAACCGGCTCTAAGAAGTCAATAGGGCCAGAGGTGGCAACATCCACTATTAATTTTTATTTTTTCTTTTAATTGCCCATTATTTTCAAAACCAAAATTTTAAAACTTTTATTAAAGATTAAAAAAAAAGATTTTTGGGAAGCATTCTTTAATAAAAGACTTTTTTCCAATATTTTAGTTGTTACATTTTTTAAAGTATAGTTTTTACATTTCCTTCGATTAAATATGGTCTAAGTTTGGCGATTTCTGCGAATTGAAAGAAATAGAAGGTGGGCGGTTAATTGTGCCTGTGAATGTATATCTCATCTCATCATATATATCTATAAAATAAAAATATTAAAAAAGTTGTCTACACCTCTATTGTGTTCTACGTAGTAGCATTCATATTTCAAAGATTATAATATGGGATCAATGCCAATGAAAATAGTGCATGACTGGACTCAATTAAAAGTGATGCCGAATCCATTTGTTGCTGTTAAATTTTATTCTTCAAGAACTGACTAACTATATTAATATTATAAAGAGGAAAACTTTGTTTGCATTGAATAGATTCCGAAATGTTGGAAATCTTTGGGGGAGGCCTATGTCCAGCAGTGGGCGTCTCTCGGTTGATATGATGATGATGGTGAGAATCCGAAACTACTGAACCGATATCAAAAATTATCGCACCTACAGAAGCTACATTATATGCGGGTGACATAGGCATTAATTTACTTGGGGGTACAAATAGTTGTCTTATAAAAAATGACAAACTGTAACCACAAGACTGTTTAAATATAGCTAGATGTTAAGTGGAATTATTAGTTCACGATTGATTAATTTTGATATTTGAAAACGGAATTAAGTAGAATGTAACGATTGAGATCAAGTTAATATTGATTACGTAAAGTGATTCGAATGCAACGTTATTCTAAGAAAATACAGCGTGGAACATAGCGTTTTTATTACTACAAGAGATTCCATCAAATAAATCCTACTACAAAAGGTTTTGTTTAATAGAACGTCTAATGCTGCGACATTGCAGTTTTTACAGAATGATAAAGCAGGATTGGTGTTAGGTAAAAAAAGTTAAATGTACTTCCAGTAAACTTATTTGAATAAAGTATATTTTCGTTTTGAAATCTACTTAACAGAAGTTACTACGAATTTTCAATGCCAATACTTTTAAGAGGCCTTCCGGCCGCTTGTGGTTTAAATTCGAAATGTTTGAAATTTCACAGGATATTAGAATTCTAGTTTCATATCGCTCTCTGAAATGAATACTTTGATAGGACGTTGTAGGAATTATAAATGTTTCAGAATGAAACTCGTTGATCGTCGTTAAAAGAATTTACCTTTTTTATTTATGTATATTTTCAACTTTTTTTTTCTTCGACAGCTTAACGAACCGAGATGGTTCCATTTGAATTTTATCAAAATCGAAGCAGTAGTTTTCCTTATTTAACAAAAAAAAAAGATATAAATAATTTAGGTAAAATGAAAAGATTGCGTATTTTGCATTCAATCAAAACCCGAAAGGAGGATTATCTATATTCAAGAAGTATGTATATTTTTTTATGAAAGTAAACACTTTTATAAATCGGTCTAATAGTTTCGGAGCCTATCCAATGTAAACAAACAAGCAATCAAATCTTTCCTCTTTATAATATGAGTAGGTATAGATACTATGGGAAAAAATATGTCGAGCACATAAATAAAATCTCCTGTTACTAAGACTTTCACGAGGTTGAATATTTTTATTTCAATAGAGATTTATTATTTTTGTACTATAGGTACATCTGTATAAAAAAGTATCAATATCACAAAAAAGCATGAAATAAAAACTTTTTCCAATAAAATAAAATCCGACTTCAAACTTAAAAGGAACTGATAAATAAAATTTATCTCAAAAGCGACTCATTTAAGAAAATGCTGTTGAAATCGGGAGCCTATTATTTAATTAATAACCTACAGAAAAACTCTGCCTGACTTAAATAGCATTTTCTTGAATAAGTCGCTTTTAATATTACAAGTATTTATCACTTTTTTAGACTTCGGTAGTAAACAATAGTTTCGCCATGTCTGTCTGTCTGTCCGCGGTTTAGTTCAAAAATTATTGGTACAAGAATTTTGTAATTTGTATAGGCATGAGTATAGGCGTTAATTACGTTGATAATGTGGTTATGCTGAAAAAATATGCATGATAATTTTTTTTTAGTTGGTGTGTCGTTGGATAGGTCTTTCAAAACATTGGGGGATTAAAGAGCTCATTTTCGTTAAAAGGAAAACTATCACACTTTAGTTGGTTTTACAAGTTTACAAGCAATAGTCGACCAATTGTATTTAACTCGAGAATTTCGAACTCCATAGTTACAACAAACGTGTCTTTTTTACTTTTTTAATGGCTAATGGTACGGAGCCCACCGTGCACGAGTCCGACTCGCACCTGGCCGATTTTTTATTAAAATTTCAAGTCGGTTGTATTTTTGAAAAAAGTTTTTGTTCAATTAAAGAGAGGTTCGTAAATCGATCTCTATTAAATAAAAATAATACTATGGTGCAATCTGTGCAACTTTGTATTAACACAATGAAAAAAAAGCCATTTTCGTCATTTAGCGTCTTGATAATATATTACAAAATAAGCTGTCATCATTGACTTATCAAGACGCCCCATTGTACTGATAATATTTGGCTTCAGTTTAAAATGCCTTCTTGAAACCTATAGCTTGTAGGACAGATGGCCATCGGGGTAATAAAGTTGGTTCCTTGACTGGCAACACACGGAAATAGAGACTGGAAAACGGTCACGGAGAGTCGGAATTCCTTCCAGATGATTCGAGTACGATCTGTATGCTTACTCTCGACCGCAATCGCGACCGATCGACTCTTGATTGGTTCACTAGCATACTCTGGCGTTAGTGTACCCAATCAAGAGTACGAAACGGCACAATAGCAATGTCGATCGATCGCGATTACGGTTGAAGAATTAGGGGGCTGGTCCGATTTGCCGGCAAGCGTTGGATGAGGACCGCGCTATACTGGTAATGGTGAAGATTTTTGGTGGAAGTTTTTGTCCAGCAGTTGAAGTTTTCTGATGATGAGATAATGTAATGGCATAACACAATTAATTGGAAAGCCATTAAAGTTAAAATTTGCAGAATCATGGCCAGAGGGGTTTATGGTCTAATTTTAAAATGTATCATAATCCCATTCAATTTGAAAGGCATCATGTCAAACTAAGTGCTATTTGCAATCTTTTGACGAGTTCAGACTACTTTGGAGTTATATAATTCCATATATCGCTATCACAATTGCTATGCTATTAAAAGGGTTTCCGATAAATTTTGAAATGAAACAATTAGCCCTCCTTTGATATTATTCTATTGATATTCTGTTAGTGTAGCCTTATAAAACTATTTGCGCTTTATAGTCACGTCACTCGACGTCGAACATATGTAATTCATATCGTAGAATGCCTCACTTTCTCTGCTGAAATATTATTTTAAGTTGTGCTAGAAACCTTTTTTTTGCCCACGAAGCCTTAGGAAATCGTATATAATTTTGATACCACTTATTTGTATTACAAAAAAAGTATTTAATTTATCGAATTGTATGGATCTTCTATCTTAATTTTACAAAGTTTGAAGATTACTTATTTGAATTGAATAGGCTCCGAAACTTCAGAACCGATGTAAAAAGTTCATTCATCTACGGGAAGCTTCATTATACGCGGGTGATATTTGCATTGGCGAATTTCCTAACATAAATATGTTATAAATTTTGAAAAAAAAAAAAACAGTATATCCATTTTTGCCTTAACTACAAAAAATTATAAGGAATTCATGGTTTTATATTTAATACTTGTTCGTAACCCGCGCGCGAGTCCGATTTTTATTTGACTAGGCCTTTACTAATTGCACGTTGTTAGATAATGTAGATGATTGACGTTGATTAATAACAGTCCTTAGTAGTATTCAAATAAAGTTATAAATTACATTGTGATAATAAGGCCTTGAGAAAAGCGGTCCTTTTTTCATCGTCTACCTACTTTTCTTTATTATTACTAGCTTTTATTTAACTCGCCATGTTTGTTAGTGTGGGTCATACCTTTCACGCTAATTTAACCCACTTGCCGATTTACAATTGAGCTGGACTTAGATGACAGTGCAAAGTTAATGTGAAGCTTATCATATGATGGAGCCTGAATATAGCAAAAGGACTTATATAATTAAACGAAGCCACACCATTGAGTTTGCCTTTTTCGATTTGTCTTGATAAAGACTTTAGTCGGAGATAATTTCCAGTGTGATGATGGAACTGGAAGGTGGCCATGGGAGCTTTGCTTGTTATTAAATAACATTATTAAATAAATTTGTTATTTAAATAATTTATTTTTATAACTTTATTAATAAATAACGCAATCCTGTTAAGGTAAACTCGTTTGAAATTAACAAGATAATATGCAACAAAAGTTTTAAAAAAAGAATTCAAAATTACAAAAAAAAAAAATAATTTAGGATTATTTATTATACCTTTTGTCAACAAAATATTAATATACAAATACTCTTTGTTTTGTAATTTTTAAAATAATTAAAATTATTGTTTTTTTAGTTATATTCAAAACTAGTTGTCCCCGAGTTAAACATATATTACTATAAAAAAAGATGAATTATTACGATCCAATGTCTAATTTGTAACTGGAAAAGCATACAGATATGCAATGTTTATACACCAACAAAATTAGCGGACATGTTTAGAAGCCCATATAATATTAATGAACCTAAATGAATATTGTACCATACAAGTGAAATTGTTAAAATTAGATTTAAACTGTTAGGTTATATAAACCTATTTTTACTTACCTACTTAAAAAGTAAAAAAACTTATTAAAATAAGCTTAAGTTTCAGCCTTGTGATACTAATAAAAATGCCATGCTATATTGTGCGATAGTAATTTAGTCTACCAATAAAAGAAGATTTCTAAGAAAACATGAAACATGTATCAATCTCATGCCTGCTTCAGCCATCCAACGACCGACCGGACACCGTCCGTGACTTCGCCCGGTACATCTACACTGGTTGACTCGATGAGGGAACTCCATCTTGAACGGAGGGCAGCTTGTGCGCCAAATGACGCCATAGCACGGAAACTCTTCACTAGAACCATTGTCCATGCTTTTTTTGAGATGCAGGTGCGACTTCAAAATTTGCTTAGTTTTATAAAATCATTACATCTTAACCATAACTTATAGTTTTAATTTTATATTTTGGACAGCATTTGTTTAGTATTTATGACAATAGTTTTTTTTAAGTGATTTATTATTGACTACTTAAAAAATTTAATCAATAATTATACTAACATATTTTTACAATAAATAATTAATGTCATTTTGTCATTGTGTATTTTTCTTTTTTTAATAAAGAAATATTTATTATACAATCAAAATTTTGTTTTTTATATTATTAAATCACTATTTTAAATTATTTTTAATAATTAATTTAGAAATTCTTAGTATATTACACACATTTATCAAAATTTAGATCAAGGTGAAATTATGTAAATGAAGTCTATTTTTAATTTATTATCTACTATACTGCAAGACATTATTGAAACTATGTTTAGCAATCATTTTTAACTAGCAAGAGATATAGTTTTATTTACATTACTGTATCAGAACCATCACTTATTCACACACAGGTAAGGTAATTAAATGAGAGGCACAATCCACACTCATTAGTAATCACTGAAAACAACAGTTAAGCACTCCCAAAATTCGTAAATTAAGTCCGCACAAATGTATAAGTACATGGCAATGATAGAAGTCAGGTCAAGGTGTCAAAATATCTATTTTTATATAGAAAACATGGCCCAAATGCGTTAATTCTCTGTCAACGTTTACGAAGGCATTTGCGCTAATTTTATACTTTGACAACTGATGTTTCTTATCGGAAATGTATTCCTTTACTCTTTATCACATTCGTTTATACTACGTGCATACAAATTTTCCTAAACTCAAATAGTATGAACTCACCGAACAGTCTGGCGGATCGATGAATTAAACAAGCTGTTTTGTAAGCTATAAAGACGAAGCGTCAACGTAAACGAAATAATCACTTATATTTTTATTGTTAAAATTCGCTTTTTATTTTTGGAAGGACTTGGTTATGTCGAATTTTACGAAACAAACCACCGCAAACGGAATTTAACTACAGCTGTCTGTCAGTTGCACTTAGCTGTCAAAGTCAAATTCGATTGACTGTCAAATTAATTGTTTTTTATATTTTTAACTGGCAACTTCTTTACATAACCTTGTCGTTTAGGAATATTTTTTTGGGTCAGTTTTTATCGAGCACGTATCGGATTTATATAAAATGTATTAGTAATTACCTTTCCGCCACCAGATTCCCCGATTAGCTTAGTAGATAGATTCTTGTTGTAATATATCAGCGCACGGACAGCGGGAATCAACTTTGTTTTATACTAAATAAAGATATTTAAACGTAACCAATTTCCTCTTTACGGATGATTGTTCTTTGAAGAAAACAACAAGCGGTGAGCGACTAATGTGGAATATGTTATCTATTTCCTAAAACCTAATATAAAGACTTAAGTGGGTGCGTTAACCCAAAATTGCGGTTTTGAAGAAGTTACTTACGAGGAAGCCCTGAACGCCCAGATTAAAAATTGTTCATATCTCTGTAACCATAACAAATAAGGTGTCATAGCTTAGGGGTACTTTAAAATAGATTTTGTTCTTTATTTAGTACATAAGGCCAAAGCATTTAATTTAAAGAAGTTTGGATAATCTGAGAAATCCTATAAGAAATAGGAATTGATACACTTAATATAACAAAAAGCTATTATTATTATGTTCATATATTAAATTACCATGTCCTAACGTCCCAGACCCAGCAATATATAAATTTACCCTAAATTAAACTTAGAATCAGCTCTATTCATAATTTTAATATTAAATTTACCACTAATAAAGGAACAAAAAAGCTCAAAATTCGGAAAAGTAGACATTACCTCTGACCAAGACATGCAAAAATATCTTCCTCGTTGTCTTCTACGGCCAGTACTTGATTATTTTTTAGGCTGTCAAAAAGTGATTTTGAGCCCGGCTTAGAACTTGAAAGAAATAATACTAGTAGAAAATATTTAGATTTTTTTCTTTTTAGCACAAGACCGTGAAAAATATTTATGAAAATTAACTAAAATAAAAATGCCCCGAGTACTAGTATTAATATATAAAGAAATCAAATAACCACAATAATGCACAGTGTACTAGTATTAGTACAAAAAACAATATTGACATTGACAAAATTAGGGAAAAATAATAGTGATTACATGAAATGCATTTCATTATATGTAAAAAAGTTACTGAAAAGTCATTTTGGCCTAATATTACTTTGAACCTCAGAAGGTTTAAAGATTACTTTATAAAAAAATCATACATCATGAAACACGTATAAACTATTAGCCAAAATAAAAAATAGTTTTATGTTTTTATAAGATTATAAATTAAAAACAGAACAAATACAATTACAGATCAAATACACTCAAACTTCTTTAACGAAAAATATTTTAATGACGATAAAATATTACCATATGTCTTTGCAATAATAATCACCTTCAGTATCAAACCAATCAACTAATTTTCTATTGTACCACATAAAAGTACCTTTCAGATTGGGTGATGCTTCCAGAATAAGGTATAGAACTACTTTTGCCGCCTCGTCTGGATCTATTTTGCCCGAACCATTTGCCATATCAGTTATAATGTGGCCAGGATGTACTGCATTGATTATTATGTTCTTATATTTCCTCTGCTGCACCATTGTGAGGGCGGTTACCGCAATTTTTGCGACCCTATGTTCAGCATGCTTTCCATCATCGGCAAAATCATTTTTATCGAAAGTGCCATTTTTGACGCTCTCCAAATACCCATCAACGAATTCATTGATTTCCCTCGTTGTCAAATCAGGCTTTATTAAGGTATCGATCCATTGTTTCTTCTTCAAATTCGAAAGGTGACCACACGAACTAGAGATATTTACGACCCTAGCGCCATCTCTTAGGAGCGGAAAAAGGTGCTCTTCGATTTTTAACAAGCTTTTGTAATTCGCTTCTATATTTCGCCGCGCTGTTTCGTAACTCGGATACACTTCGTCCCATTCTAAAATAGCAGCATTGTTTACGAGAACGTCGAAACCACCGTGTTTTGTTTTGATGTAACTCGCGAATTCCTTGACATTCTCTTCGTCAGTCACGTCAAGGCGATGATATGCCGGCTGTAGACCGAGGTCATTTAACTTTGCAAGAGCACCCGCGGCTCTGTCGTCGTTTCTTGCCGTTAAATAAACTTTACCGTCGAATTTCTCACACAGCCCTTTTACAATTGCGAATCCTAGTCCTTTATTTGCACCGGTTACGACTGCCACTTTGCGCGCCATTTTGTTTATTTATTTTTTAAAGTAAAGTCACTCACAGACTACACGATCCGTGCGAATGATAACGCTTACTGAACTTGTGTATTTATATTTATCAAGGTTAACTTTGTTTGTGGACATGTAAGTAGGCAGTATAGTCATTATTTGTCTCATTAATAATGTCAGTAGGTTTGTTGATAAATATATTGTTATCTAAGTTTTTTCTAGGAGGAACAAACAGTGCTTTAGTGGAAATTTTTGGAGAATTTTATAGCAGATTGTTCATCGACGTAAACGCAGGATTCCAAAATATTGTATGAAGACATAATTAAGCTACATTATCAGCTGATTTTGCTCAAACTGAAAAATAAACAAACACTTTGTAGGTACACCAACATCACCCCCGTCCAGAGAATGAAATAATATAGTAAAGGTACACTATACACTTATTTAGGGAGAAGAACAATGAATTGATGAAAATTGTTTCCATGCATACCCTGATTACACTGTATTACTCGACATTATGTATTACTAGATTTTAACCGATTTCAAAATACAAAAGGAGGAGGTTATATATTCGATGGCGATGTATTTTTTTATGTATGTTCACCGATATTTCCGCCTATTGTTGACCTATTTTTAATTTTTGTTTTACACAGATTTATGGGGTTATCCCATTTAAATTTTATCGAAAACGAATCAATAGTTTTCCTTTTGTAACAAAACAAAATACGCTTTTCACCAAATATTTCAGCTTTCCAGCTTAAAACAAAAACTTATTTGTAATTCATTCAAAATCCTAAACGTGAATTTTATATGTAAAGTAGGCATGTTAATAAATTTCTTCTTGATATGCTGAGCAAATAAACAAAATTTTCTTTATTTCTTCTTTACTTTTTCTTTATATATGCCAACGCAACTTACATTTGTTATAAATAAAAGATATCGTTGTATTTTTTTATCTAATTTTAACCGAGCTATGATGATCTAAAGAATTTTTCCCTCTTTTCATGTTTCAACAGGAAGTTTCCTTATTGCTGGAAGCTCTCAGAATAAAGTTTGATACTATTTTGAATATTTTGATTACTCAGTATTACAAGAAAATAAAAGAACTTGCGTTATTTGTCAATCTAAAGCAAAAAATTTGTTGATCAAGGGAAAAAATCTCTTTAAATTCAGATCCGATTTCATCCTTCTTCAATATTTCTAACAAACATTCAATCTCTATTTTAGCGCCGCAGAATTTTTAATTTAATGAAGTGTGCTTAAAATAATAAGTGTTGAAAACGTACGAATATTGATGAAAATCATGAGAAGCCTTTGGTTAGAGAGATAGGCGGTCGCACCCATGCTGGGTCTCGTCTAGCTCAATGTTTAAAGCAGTAGATTTTTGGATCGAATTCCATCTCACAGTGTTGGGATCGGTGAATTTTTTAATCGTATTTCATTAAATAAGATATATAAAATGCTTTTCAAAGTACTCAAAATTGCAAAGTAAACCAGTTAATATAAAAAAATATTTCTTTTATTATCTCAGATAATAATAATTTTGTGGGACAGTTGAGGGTACTCGAGTGTCCCCTGCATTAGTTGGAGGGCTTTTCGAACTATTTGCTTAACTAAAGGCAGTTTTGTTAGAGGTCTCACTTAACCAATAACTGTACTTTTCCTTGTCGACTTTATCCTATAATGATAAATGCTTCTTATAATGATAAAAGGAGGAGGTTCTCAATTTGACTGTATTTTTTTTCTGTTTGTTACCTCACAACTTTTTAATGAGTTAACTTATTTTGATAATTCTTTTATTTGAAAGCTGCCGTGTGGTCCCGTTTCCGCTTGGTCTAGATCTAGCAATGGCATTTATGAAAAAACTATATAAGTCTTAAATTTGCAATAAGTATGCGTGTAGTTTGTTACCTCAAAACTTTTTACAGGGTGAGCCGATCCTATTGATTCTTTTTTATTTGAAAGTTGGTGCTTTCAGTGTGGTCCCGTTTCAATTTTCAGCATAGTATTTTTCAGACTTAGAAGAAGGTTTTAGGTATATTAACAAATGCAAGTTTGCACTTTAACACGGTATTGTCGCGGTTTTCAGAAAAGTATTTTTAGTGTTACCTATTATAGAAAAATATAAAAATCTCTAAAAAGCATGAAATAAAAAAAAACATAAAAAGAAAATAGACTTCAAACTTTAAAAAATGAAAAATCTCAAAAGCGACATATTCAAGAAAATACTATTGAAGTCAGGCCTATAAATTAATTAATAACCTACAGAAAACCTCTGTCTTATTTCAGTAGCAATTTTTTGAATAAGTCGCTTTTGAGATAAGTATTATTTTTCACTTTTTTTTTAATTTGAGGTTGGTTCTATCTTTTTTTGTTTCGTGTTTTTCTGAGTTACTTATTTTTTTGGTTTTATATTTTATTTAAAGTTTATTGTAATCTGGTCTGCTCCCTTATTCTTGAACGCAATCGCGACCGATCTTTTTTACACTAGCGCCAGAGTATGCTAGTGTACCAATCAAGAGTTGCTTGCGATTACGATCGTGAGTACCTAAGCGGGTAGATGAGTTAGATGATGCAGTGGTTAGAGCGATAGGATGTGAGGCAAATTCATAATAACAGCAAAAGAAGGGTGACCAATTTACTACTTCAAACTCCTTCGTGCTCCACTTTCGTGCATACGCTATTGGTCTCGCCTTCACCTACGTGCTCGATGGATTCAGATATATTGCATATTTGCGATTTTACGTTGTTTCTTTTGAGAGCCGTAATCTTGTTTTCTATAAAATATGCTACGTGAAAATAAAATATACATAATATTTTGTAGTAATCTATCTTTTTAATAAAGTAAATACGAGCTGGCTGAGTGTTATAATCATTTAAAAAAATAATAAGTATTATGGGTAGAGAAAGAAAAACAAATGGCGGGAATAAAGAGTACTACTTTTTCCTCGCGTGATTATTTATTTTTTATAATGTATTTTTCACATTTATAATAAAGGTAATACATTGTTTATTACGAATATATAATATACTTTATTATTTTAGTTGCTCTAATTACACGGCACAAACTATTTATTTCAAGTCGCGCCGCAAGATATTTATATTTCGTACGAACAATGCGCGTATTGGGCGATACACGACGATAAGTAATTATTGGCACGTCGTAAAAGTGTCAAACAACTTAAAGTTGTTTGGGTCATCCATAAGATTCATAAAACTATAACTCTTATTACTAAGTGTTTACATTAGTCGGTGGGAGAGCAATTTAAAGGTGTCAAACGGCTGAAGTGCCGGTGTGAGATTACCGATGAGACCGGCACTTCAAAAAATCGCTTATCCCTAGGATAAGCGAATTTTTACTCGTAGTCGCGTTCGCGCCGTATAGGTTAAGTGCAACAATGAATATAAATAAATAAATAAATAAATATTTAACAACATCACATACATTGCTCAGATTCCAAGATGAGTAGCTAAAGCCCCCGTATTATGGAGTATCTGAGACAACGAAGGTACCACAACACCCAGACCCGAGTCAATATAGAAAAGTTCATTTTCTACATTGACCCGACCGGGAATCGAACCCGGGACCTCAGAGATGGCGACACCTTGAAACCGGCGTGCGAACCACTCGGCTAAATACACACAAAGTACATACCTACAATAAAAATTTATATAATTTTTAAATTTTTTGATGTAAGTTTTAAGTGTTGGTAGGGATTGAGCTCTCCTAATCGAAACTGGGAGGGAATTCCAGAGAAGAGTAGCTTGGACGGTAAATGAGGAATCATAAAAGGAAGTGCAATGAGTTGCAATTTTGAAGAGTTACAGCTAGATTGCTTCTAGCTTTACGTTAGCTAGATTACAAGTTTGTTTTTGCGCGACGTATTGCGTCATCGTGTCGTCATTCATGCCGCGTTATATTAACAATGATTGTGTTTTATACCTATGCCATATTAGTCTCTGTTCATCATGACTCGTTAGCTCAGCTGGTGAGAGCACCGAAATGGATTCAAACAGACTCGGCGGTCGGAGGTTCAAATCCTTCACGAGTCAATGTTCCTTTTTGAAATATATATTTTATATAATGATAATTTTTCTACAGTTGTAACTACTCTTTGTATCCTATATTTTCTCGCATCTTTATTTGTTATGTTTATATATTTAAAAAATAGTAAACTGAAATGGGGAACTATTATTACATTAAAATCAGTAGTCTACAGGGGGCCAATTCTACTAAATAAATTTTGTTTAAATCGAATCGAAAACGGATCAAAACCGAAAGAAACTACAGTTTTTAATAGTTTTCCTATTCTACAAAGTGACGTACGATACAATTCCAGTTCTTTTTTCGATCCGTTTTCGATTCGATTTAAACACAATCTATTTAGTAGAATATACCCCCAAGCCTCTTATGATATGTTTGTCAGTATTATTTTTCATAAGACAAATTATGTTATATATAGTATGGTACAGAGATTTAAGGGCTCATTTACCTTAAGGCTAAAGGGTCATGGCGGGAGCTTCCGGGCAACGAAGGAGTGTTTTTTAAATAGTCTTGTAAGTATTTTCTAACTTAATTTAAATCACACAGATCCATGACTTTGCCTTTTCCTATTCTTTAAGAAAATTAGCGTCGAACGTAGCATCGAGTACAGCGCTGTTATAGCACGAGAACTTCAAATCTTAACTTTTATTATCACTATTTATTTATAGAACTTTATCACTACATAGTATAAAATAAAGTCGCTTTCTCTGTCCCTATGTATGCTTAAATCTTTAAAACTACGCAACGGATTTAAATGCGGTTTTTTCATAGATATAGAGATAAAAAAGGAAGGTTTTTATGTATTATACAAGATCACGCGGGTGAAGCCACGCGCGGAAACCTAGTTGACCAACATAAGCATGGTATAAATGGCGGATTTAACGCTTCTAGCACTCAGTGACTATCTCAATCCAGCCTGGAGGCATAATTGAAATTTACTAGGCTAAGAGATTGTGATAAACATATGCAAGAGCTTTCTAAAACTTGATATTTCAGTATATTGTAGTAATAAGGTTATACTTACATCATTCGGTACTGTAACGTCCAAGCACATTACTATAGGCAGGTTTACTCTTGGGACGGTTTATGGTCAAGTGCTGGCCGTTAATA